ATCCCTGAAAGACTTTTGTGCAATCCAATTCCAGAAAGTCTCATGCCACAGCTTCATGTAAGTCACTGCAACAGACAAGAAGCACTTTTCTCAAAGATGACCAAGTTAGGCACTCTAACCATGCCATCTTGAAGTTAGATGGACCTCACGCCGTCAAATCTGTAGGGTTTTGGGCGCTGCTTCACCAAATGGCTCTCCTGAGGCCCCTCTAGATGCCTATAACACAAACTCCAAAAACCCTATTCCACCACCCCTTGTAACCCTAACCCTAAGGGCATCAAAGTGCCACAGGAAGAGGAGGAGGAGGAAGAAGAGGACTCTGAGGAAGAAGAGCTAAGTCCAAGGCCAAACAGAGTCACCCAGGAGCCACTGCCATCTCCCAAGAGCAAGGACAACAAAGCAGTAGAGGGAGCGGGTGATGAGCTGGATGACCTAGATGATCTGGGTGATGAGACAAGCTCTGGTGGTGCTTCTGAGTGGATGCCAACAGAAGACATCAGCCACCAGCAGCCAGACACTCCAGGCGCACTGACAAGGAAGAGAAGGTCAGGTGGTGTCCTGGAAGGCTTTGATCCCAAGAAGAGCAAGGTAGGGGCAGGACAAAGTATGATGGAGCCTGAGGTGGTTGATGCAAGGTCAGTTGTCCATCCCATCCATGCCTCTATCCTCCTCCCAAACCCTGGATGGGAAGGGATGAAGATACAAAAGCCCATCCTGCCTGGCATCATATACACCAAGGGCATCAAGGATGGTCACAACAGTCTCTATGTGGCCATGGCAATGTACCTGTTCCAGGACCAGAACCGGGCTTTGGAGGTAAAGAACAGGGCTAGCAAGTACTTCAAAGAGAACCCTGACTTGTTTCTTGAAGTCAGTCATCCCCTCGGCAGTGATTCTAGGATCAAGCATCTTGTGGCTACCTTTCATGGCACTGCAGCTAAGGACAAGATCATGATGGAGGCTGTAGCAGGTCACTTCAAGCAGTCCATCATGGTAATCAGCAAGGTGGAGGACAAGTGGCAAGGCATTGTTCTGCCTGCTGGAGGCAAAGGTCCTTATGCAGGCCTAATCTACATCCCAGAGAGGAGGCAATTTGAGCTGGCATTCCCTGCTGCTTGAGGAAGTTTTCACAGGATGACATGTAAGTAGTTCACTGTTGTGGCAAGTACCCCCACCCTCTTTTCCTCCACCCACTACACTGTAAATGTTCCATTCCATTCCCCCATCTATTGTGAGATGTTGTGAGCCAGGGGGAGGGGCCAGAGCGCTGGTCACGTGACAGCATCACAGCCAGGGGTAGAGGCCAGGGCGCCAGTCACATGATCTCCACCCTCAGGGGTAGGGGTGCAAGTGCTGATCACATGACTATTCCACTGCCAGGGGTAGGGGTACAAGCGCTGGTCACATGACATCTCCATGGCCAGGGGCAGGGGCGCCGGCACTGGTCAGGTGACAGGTCCTTGACTAGGGGCAGGGGTACAAGCGCTGGTCACATGACATCTCCATGGCCAGGGGCAGGGGCGCCGGCACTGATCAGGTGACAGCTCCTTGACTAGGGGCAGGGGTACAAGCGCTGGTCACATGACATCTCCATGGCCAGGGGCAGGGGCGCGTGCGCAAATCACACCACCAAAAGGAGCTTAGGGGTAGGGACTGGAACCCTGCATGACCCTGCATGAGCAAGGGATAAAAAGTCGTCCCTGGGGGGATCTAGGGCCTCTTCTAAGTGCCATAGGGACTGCCCCTTGCGCTGGAAGGGGCGTCCGTGACCAGGGATAGGGCCGTGTCCCTGCAGAATTCTAGGGGCAGACCCTGGAAAAAATCCAGAGATGACGTGCAGCCCCTGCAGATTCTAGGGGCTACCCCTGGAAATTCTAGAGATTTTTCACTCTTTGGCCCATACCTCCACCAAAACCCCCAGGGTAGCATCTGAAACTTCAACAGCAGTATCAGGGCATCTTTCTGCTTCTTCTGAGCCCATGTTGTTTTTCAATCCCTTTGGGAACCCGTATGTAACCCTAACCCTAACCCTAACCCTAACCCTAACCCTAACCCTAATCCCAAAAAAAATTGCACCATTGTCAGCGCTCTGCTGCGCTTGCTGACCATGAACAGCACTCAAAGCCACTCACTTGTTCTGAAGAGCTGTGTAATGCTGGTAATGCGCTGAAAGACACTGAGGTGCACTGTTGTCAAAGAGGATGGGGGATGGTGGTGGTAGGGAAGAAGGAGGGAAAGATGAACATGTTCAGTTTTTCATCCTTTCTCTAGCTACATGTCCCTCATGCAGCCTGCTTGACTTCGCTTCTCAAGTGCGCTGAGAGGCGCTGAAATGTCTTGAATGCTCCACAGTACTTTGGCACACTTCAGCGCCGCCCCAAAGGGCGCCAAAACACTGCTGGGGGCGCCCAACCCCGCCACCTCCACATCACTACAGCGCACCTCCCTGCCTGCGCGCACCAGCCACAGCTCAGCGCTCTTCTGATGCCCTTGCATCTCCCCTCAGTGCCCCTTGGTGCACCTTGTTCAGTGCCTCTCACCGCACTTAACACTTTGAAAGCCCATGTCTCAGTGAGTTTGCAACCCCACCCCAAACCCTTCACACATGCTAAATGACTCTTCTGACCCTCTCCAAACCTCTGCTAGGGTCACATAGATTCCCAAATTTCAGAGGTGCCATCAGCCAAAATCACCCCGCACTTGCGCTTTGCGCCTCCTCACACAAAATTGGCTATCGCAAAACCAAAACTTTTCTGCCACAAGACACTCCTCAATGTGCTCTACAAACTGGCTATCAAACATCTCCGACCCTAATTCCAGACACCCTTGTAACCCTAACCCTAACCCTAAATCGCCTTCTTTGCCTCTCTCATGGTGCGCCACTTTCGCCTTCCTGTCACTGAGAAGGGCGTCACAGCTAGCTCCAAATCCAAGCCTGAGGAGACGCTCAGCGCCTGAGCTTCCCCTTCCGAACCCCCGCGCTGCGCCTGTCACACCAACATCAGACTTGTTTTCTTTTTCAAGTCGACCTGCAATGTGCACTTGTTATCGACCCAGTCTCGAATTCCGTTGTTTCGTAGAGGTACAAGCGATAGGAAGCGACAGTGGGCATGAGAAGATTGGGAGCTGTTCAGATCATCCAGGGACGTTCAGGAGCGTAAAGCTCGGTGGCCAGGTAGACGGTGAGCTCGGGGATGCCCTTCTTGTATGCGCAGCCAATGTTGGATTGCACGCCGCTGCGCTTCGCTAGCGCGCGGTGTGTAACGAATTGCTGCACTAGGCGCCGGTACCATCCCGCTTCTCGAAGGCCGCGCGAGAAGAGAAATCCATCCAGCTTTTGCACAACGTCGTCATCATCGGCTGCATCTTGGCGAATGGGCAGGTAGAATTTGGCCGTTGGCGCAGTGGTGCCCTTGCGCAGCTCGTAGTAGACGAGCGCACCGCGAGATCTCGCTTCTTGAGCGGACAGGTCCGAGTCCGCACATTCGATCACCTGTTCTCGCTTCTCGTCAAAGAGTGTGAACAGCTCTCGCGCCCAGATCTTTTGGCTTTCGAAGACTTTGCGATCCGTGTGTCCCTTGCAATCCAAATGCTTTTCGAGCTCTTGAAGGTCGATTCGGCTGAAGCGTATGTACAGCTTCATCCGAGCCTGATCGGACGGTACGCAGTCCACGCCGCAGGATTCCAGCGCGGCGGGCTTGCCTGCACGCTGCAAGTCGCAGAGGTACGATCGGATGGGCAACCAGCTCTGGCGCAATTGTATGCCTGCTAGCGCCTCTTCCACAATGTCCTCTTTGCACCGACCTTCTGCAATCGCCTTGGCGTCCAGACCGAAATATGCCTTCATCATGATTTCGGAGCTGTGCAACTCCACACCAAACGCCAGCTGGGTGAAGCCAAAGGCCTTTTTGGGAATCGTGTCGCTTGGCATCACCGTCAAAACGGGGAGCAGAGCTTGAAACCATGTCAAATCCGTCCGTGGACCCGGCGCGCCGTGTCTTCGAGTCCATTGCAAAGGTGCCAAAATGTTGATGGGATCCGTCTGCCAGTCCCTCGACGTCTGGCTGACGACTTGAATAGGCGCAGGCTCAAAGCCTAGACGTAGGCGAGTGTACGAATGACTGATTGCCAAGCTGTACTCGAGCAGAGAGTGATCATCTGCCACAAAGGATGTCCAACGAGATGGCTGACCTTGAAGTTCTCCGGGCGCTCCGAGGAGCCCATCATCGACTAAATGTTTTTCGAAAAAGCTTTGGAGTTGATCGAGTGCTGCTTCAGGCTCGGTGGAGAAATGTTTCAGTGTGGAAAATTGGGTTAGGAGTGCTGCGCGCCAGGCAGAGGAGTGCGGACTGCAGCAGAATGACGCAGGTGTAATGTGAGTAGGTAGAATAGCAGAAGAAGTCTTGGACTGATAGGTACGCTCACCTGGACCCTACGACTAGCTTGGCCCTTCCCGGCAAATGGCCCATCGACTGGGACGTGGGCTTCTCATCATGTGCCAAAGGCCACAATGAGCTGCTGTCAATTGCGCAGACATTCGTGTGTGTAGATGTCGTCATCAAGCCGAATTTTGATGGTGAGGATCAGTTCAAGAGTGGAGATTGTCGGGAATCGCTCGAGTAGCGGCATGCTCAGCTTTCACTTCTCCATTATATATACGAAAAAGAAAAGGTCCGACTGTGCTGATGCTTTCAATGTACGCATACCGTTCCTCGCTGCAACGTAGCTCTGTGCTGCCCCGCGAGTCGCAGCACGGTTTCACGCCCGTGGCCGCATCCGCAAAGTCGATTGAACGTTGGTGATTCGCATTCTTGATTGCATCTCAGCACAACCGCTGCAGCACTTGCTGCGCGCTCCAAGAGCCATTCGAGAATCCTACTCTCGGCGCCGAACCCTTGAAGACTGGGCCATGTGGCGAGATCAATTGAATCACCGAGGCAGCTTCGGTATGCCGAGCCCCTGCGCCATGCTGCTAACTCGGAGGCATGGGCATGGGCATGGGCAGCACGGCTGAACAAGGCATACGTGCTATACTCGATCGCCTCTCGCAAGCGCCAAAAGCTGCATGTCATTGGGAGGGCGGAAATGGCACCTCCATCGAGAGAGCAAATCAGAACTTGCTCTCCAGGCACAGGCACTCGAGACGCCGCGACGTTGGTAGACCAAGCTCGCTTCGCGTTACGTGCTCGATCTCGCTGTGAGCGCCTAGCTGGACCGCGTGATGCTGAGACGTGTCCTTGCACTCGTTGCTCATTCAAACGCTGCTGTCTGCAACAATGAGCGCTAGACGAGGTGGAGGAGGGTGAAGAGTCGTGCACAGTGGTGAGTGGGTATTAGCCGCGAGTGCGCGGATGCATCACGAGCTCGCATGTGTGCTTGCGGGTGTGAGGACCACGTGGGGCGTGCATGCAGGCATGCATATTCAAATCACATTGATGATTCTCCTGCCATCACTTGACCGATTTGATGCTTGTATTCTCGCTTCATGCTGTGAGGTTTCGCCGCCGGCGTCTAGCGCCAACGCCGCAATTAATCGATGGCATGACCTTAGTGGAAATCACAAATCAAACTTAGATGCTGCAGATGGCCCGCGGTGCAGGAAAGCAAGATGGCGCGCGCGCGTAATCACGACTTGCTGTTGTTCGGACGCGGGGAGCGAGCGCATGGGCAAGAATCAAGAATCAGAATTGTCTGCAGCAGCGATGAAAGGCATCATGCAGGCAGGCAGACAGGCAGGCAGACAGGCAGGCAGGCGAGCAACTCTGCTCGTCGCTCTCGACAAGCCTTGCTCTGCCCGCAGCTTGCTTCGATTCGGCGCGCATTCGAGGTGGATGAAGCGCGCGCAAGGCTTTTTTCGCTTGTCTGTCGCGGTCAAGCGTCGTGCTGTTCTACTCAAGACTTGGTCTCTTGCTCTGGACGCTTCTCACAAAAGAAGCGCGATGTGCTCTCTGCACGCAGCACGCAGATGCACGACTTTTGCCACGGGGAGCTTCATGTTTGTAGGGACCACGTTTGCGGCCACGTTTGGGGCCACGTTTGGGGGGCCACATTCGCGATTGATTGCTGCTTGCCTGCATTTTCTGCCATCGCGCCCCATCGCGCCCTCGCAAGTGCTGACTCGCGACGAATTGGTCGTTCCTCTTTGTCAAGCGACGCGCGCGGACTCTCGCTCGTTCTCATCCTTCAGCAGCAGCAGCAGCAGCAGCAGCAGCAGCCACTTGCACTCACTGACTCGATCGTGAGCTTCGCGCCGCCCCATTCGAAGCAAAGGACACACGCCATGTTGTACTGCGGGGAGATTGTAGCAACAGCCTCACCGACTGTGCTCACAACACTGTTCGTCGCATTCCTCGCGAGCGTGGTCGGGCTATGGCTAGCGGCCGTACGCCGCCGCGCTCTTCAATGCGAGCATGCCTTGCCCATCTCGCCGCCTGGCGCTCTGCCCTACTTTGGCCACCTGTTTCAAGCATCCGACGGTCCGACGCTGCGAGGCAAGCTGCGCGAGCTGGGCGCTCTGTACGCCTCGCACGAAGTGTTCAGTCTGCGCTTGGGTCCTGTACACGTCATGATGCTCAATTCGCGCCAAGCGGTGGAGGAGCTGCTGGGAAGAAGAGGCAAGATATACAGCAGCAGACCCATGAATGTCGCGGCGAAACACTTTTTCACGAAGCAGAGCACCGCTTTTGCGCCGTACGGACCTGACTGGAAGAATGCCCGAACCATCATCAACAAGTCTTTTGGACAGCGAGCCATTTCGGCCAAGGCGCTGGAGTATATGCAAATCGAATCTGCTCAGCTGGTCAAGCGTCTGCGCGATCGACTGCTGCTACAGGTCGATCAGAGCGCCACGCAGTCCTTTGACGATGCTGGCGTGCCGCGAGAGCTGACACGTTTTGGTCTGGGAAACTCTTGGCGCATCATATTTGATGGGCAGGAATTGAGAGACGAAGATGTACAGGAGGCGATGGAGGCCGTCCAGTGGATCACAAAGTACGCTGGCATACGTTCAAGATTGTCCCAGCTCTTTCCCGCGCTCGAGCATTTGCCTGGCTTTTTGAACGGAGAGATCAGACTCATTCGTCAAGCCCGACAGCGACTCATGGATATCTTTCTGCCACGCTATTTCGAACTGCTGAATGCCGAGCTCGATCAGGTTGAAAAGAACAGATCGGGTGTGCACAAAGACGCGCATGACGATGCGGCAGAGAGCGGGCACGACTACCACGCTCGGTTTGTTGCGGGCAAGGAAGCACGTCGGGAGCTGGGATGCGAACGAGCAAGATTTCTCATCACTGGTCTTCTCTCCGCTAGTGGAGACACCACCTCTGGAAGCTTGTTGTGGACCCTGTGCTACTTGGCAGAATATCCGGAGGTGCAGCGCAAGGCACAAGCTCTGCTCGACGATGCATTCGGCCAACTGGACGCTCCACCCACCTTTGACTCGGAGAGAGAGCAAGCGGAAGCGTGGGCATACATTCGAGCCATCGTCAAGGAGCAATCTCGTTTGTCGCCCGTCAGCCCGACCAACGGTCCGAGAAGGTGCGACGCGGATGATGTGTACAAGGGAGTCTTGATACCCAAAGGAAGCATCGTCTTTATCAACGCTGGTCATATTCTGCGAGATGCTAGGGTGTACGATGAGCCGCTGAGGTTCAAGCCGGAGAGATGGTTGGAGGCAGATCGTGCCGCATCTGTCGGTGATCTGCTGCACGATGTGTGGCCATTCGGATTTGGGCGAAGAGGTTGTCCCGGAATTCACTTGGCCACTCAGGCTCTTCCGATGGCCTTGATGCACATTTTGCTAAATTTCAACATTGGGCAGCTGCATTCCACGCGGCCGCTCGACACTGCAGGCGATTTGGGAAAGGGCGAGATCGTAGTTGCGCCCGATGTATCCAACATTACACTCTCATTGCGAGAGCCACATGGGATCGTTGAATAGACGTCACTTCTCTTTTGCACGCATTACACGCTCGCCGCTCTAGCTTGTGTTGCTGTGAGAGCCACTGTCTCTGCGACGGCGAAAAGATCGGTAGATGTGGAGATGAATCTGAATCCCAGCTTGGAACTATCTGCAATCATCTGCTGAGAGCCGTCGGTGACCGTTCCGACCACTTTGCCATGCTTGCGTGCGGCATCCATCACGCGAGAAACTGCTTCGCTCCACATAGGCTCGTACTTGTCCAGCGCGGGAGGCATCGGAGACAGACCGAGGCTGAGTCGAAGGTCCACAGGACCTGCAGAAGCGAAAAGCATCGAGATCGACGTCAGCGCTACGTGCGCAATGTTGAGCATGTCAGCCGCAAACTCACCAACAAAGGCGCCGCTTATGCCCTCGAGGCCAATGATCTCATCCACGTGCTCCAGACCGCCTCTAGATTCGATCTGAGGTAGCACAACGACGTTGGGCGCTTCTTGTATGAAATACTCGAGGACGCCCTTGGTCGTCGATCCAGCATCGGCGGGTATGGCCAGAGGCGCGCTAAAAGGTCCAAAGGATCTATCGCCAATGGGCGGATATCGAGCGTTGGAGACGAGCTGTTTAGCTTCTTGCACGCTGTCTATGCGAGGGACAATGATACCGTTTGCGCCCGCGTCCAATGCCCATTTGATCCACTCTACAGCTTGAGATGGCAATCGAACCAGTGCCGCAGTGCGTCCCAGCGAAGAGAGCCTGATCGCCTTGATCAAGTCGTCCACCAGTCGGATATCCGTCGGAGCATGCTCTGCATCGATGACGATGAAATCCAACTTTTGAGTGCTCGCTATTGCTCTGGCTACGCTCACGCTTCCGCTCACTAGCCAGCAGCCCAGCAAGGAGCCCTTGCTGGAATCTGGTGCGCGCTCTTCGATCGCTTGACGCAGATTCAGAACGCCAGGTGTCGGTCTGTCTGACTGAGCCATGCTGAAGGGGGGAGCTTTGCAAATGTGCGGGTAGAGACAGAGTGGGTGATTGGCTGTCAAAGTGAGCTTGTATGGCTGTATACGAGGCACGGATGAAAGGATGACGACAAGTTAAAAGTGGAAAAAAAAAGGTTGGGACTTGCGCTATCACTCGCTTGCGGTGCACACATCGTGACACATATACGCATGCTTATAAACGCACCGCTGCGCCTCGACTAGCTCTTGACAGCCTTGCCCAGCCTGATCGCCCGGCCTGCATTCATTCATCTTGACGCAGGCAAGGCAGCAAGACTGGCGAATGGTCAAGCAAAAAGGATGCACATGCGATGCTCGTCGCTTGGGCGGTTGAAGTCTCCTTCAGCAAGACCAAGACCAACGATACCTCGACCCATATGCACAGAGAGCGAGCATCTGTTAAAATTGACGCTTGTGATTTGCAAAGCCCGCCTGCCTGGCTCATCTCATTGGCATGCAGCGCCAAATGAGACTCTTGATGCAGAACTCGATTTCGATTTCCATTTCGATTTCGATTGTGACTACTTTCGACTCGAGCGCATGCAGAGAGAGCTGCGAATCAAAATGGCATCGCATCGCATCATGCAGACGCCAACATGGACGCATCACAAACGCAGGATCGCCGTGCGTGACGCCTGCTGGCTGGCTGCCAGCCGCCGGCGGGCTACGAGACTGGCGGATGGCCGCGCTGGGAATGAAGAATGGTGATGCGGATGCGCGCGCATGGACAATCACGATCGAATACGCCCGACGCAATCGATGTATTCGATTAAGGATTTGATCATGAATCTTGATTTGCGATTGCATGCCAGCATGGGGATGATTGAAGCCTGCATGGGAATACAGTCCTGTAGCAGACGTGCGGTGGCTGCATGCATGACCGCACCGCACCCTTCATGCACCCGCTAGCTTGAATGCGCGATTCTCAAGGTTTTGATGTGGTTGTTCCGTTAGCCCGCACGTCCGTCTTCTCTTCCTGCTTAGCTGCTGTATATGCAGGCATGCCCCCTTCATTGCCGCGGCGCCCTGCAAGCTATTGTATATAGCATAGATGAATCTCAAATGTGAGGTAGGCTAAAGCATGCAGACTGACAAGTCGCGCTCATCATTGCCTTGCTTGCTCACTTGCTTGCTTGCTCGCTCGCTCGCTCGCTCGCTCGCTCCACCGTGCATGACGCCGCGTTGCGAGGAGCTGCTGCAAAGACCTCGCGGTCGCACGGCATGGCGCATGCAGCAGCAAGCGAGCGAGCGAGCAAGCAATCGTGAATCACGCATCATGAAGCAAAAGCAGCGACGGAGTGCAAGGATGGATCAGCTAGAGCAGCAGCACGACGTGCGGGACAGTGCCATGGGAGTGCGTCAAATGCTAGTGTCTGAGTGACCCAGCGTGGAGCGTGCGTGAAACAGTGGGAGTGCAAGAGCGCTAAAGTCAGCATCAGCGATGTCGAAATGTATATATCTGGGCGGCGGGCAGGTGGCAAGAGCGAGAGCAAGGTTTCAAGGCTACAAAGGTGAGCAGTGAGCACGCATATGCATGCTTGTCGCGCGGCGTCCGTGCGCACTTCAAGATTCGTGATTGCTAGCTCTAGCTCCCTTCCTGACTTGTTTGCGCCCGCTGGTACTCTGCAGGCAACGATGAAGCTGTTGCCCTTCATCCTTCCCATCCTCAACATCTTTCACTATCAGCATTGTCTCATCATGTCGGACATTCAAGATCTACGCGTGCGCGATCTGGCTTGTGCGCTGCAATCGTCCAACTTCAAGGGCGAAATCCTCAGTGCCAAGGATGGAGAAGCTTTTTCCTCGCTCAACACGCCTTGGGGCGTTCAGGAGGCTGAGCAGCCCGCTGTGGTGCTTGTCCCAAAAGCGCACAAGATGTCGCCCTCGCCGTCAAGAGCGCGCACAGCAAGGGCTTGTCTTTGGCTATCCGGAGCGGAGGCCTGATGAAATCGCAGACCAAAGGTGTCAGCCTCAAGCTCAAGCATCTCGACGCCTACTCTATCAGCAGCGACAAATCTCAAGTCACGCTCGGTCCTGGTCAGACTTGGCAGACGGTGTACGAAAAGATGCGCGATGAAAAGTTTACCGTTCTTGGTGGGCGCGTCTCCTTTGTGGGAGTCGGTGGCTACGTGGGCGGAGGTGAGCGAGCGAGCGAGAGGCGATGGAGAAAAGGGGCGTGTATGCGCTGAGCACCTGCTAAAAGTGCTTGCTGCCTCTGCCCCCAGGCGGTCTAAGCTACCTCGTAGGCCAGCACGGTCTGGCTTCAGACTCGATCATCGACGCAGAGGTCGTCCTGGCGGATGGCCGCATCGTGCATGCTGCATCCGATCCCGAGCTTCTTTTTGGCCTGAAAGGCGCAGCCAGCAATTTTGGAGGTGAGCAAGATCGGA